CTTGGACTCCCAAAGTGCTGGGGTTACAGGCATGAGTCACTGTGCCCAGCTGAATAATTTTATTTATTTATTTATTTAACTTATTTTTTGAGATAGGGTCTTGCTCCGTCACCCAGGCTGAAGTCCAGTGGCACAACCATAGCTCACTGCAGCCTTGGCCTCCTGGGCTCAAGCAATCCTCCCACCTCAGCCTCCTGTGTAGCTAGGACTACAAGCTTGTGTCACAATGCCTGGCTAATTTTTATTTTTTGTAGAGACAGAGTCTTGCTTTGTTGCCCAGACTAGTCTGGAAGTCCTGGGCTCAAACGATCCTCCTGCCTTGGCTTCTTGAAGTGCTGAGATTACAGGTGTGAGCCACTGTGCCCAGCCGGAATAATTTTAGAGTTGGGCAGGGAGCTGACTCAACTCAATGGTGACGTCTATGAGGTAAACTGAGGCACAGAGCTGTGAAGGACTATCCTGGAGTTGCTCTGTAAGTCATCAACAAACTTAGGAACAAATCCAGTCGCCTGTTCCCAACCCCTGATTCCAACCCTCTGGACCCTTTTCTGTGAGCTCCTTCTTTCCCTCCCTCCTTCCGTCCTTTCTTCTTTTCTTTTCTTATTTTTTTCTTTTTTTTTTATAGGGTCTCTCTCTGTTGCCCAGGCTGGAGTGCAATGATGTGATCACAGCTCACTGTAGCCTCGACCTCCTGGGTTCAAGTGATCCTCGCACCTCGGCCTCCCAAGTAGCTGGGACTACAGGCACACCAACCTACAGGCAGGTTGGTGTGTACCAACCTGCCCAGATAATTAAAAAAAAATGTTTGTGGCCGGGCATGGTGGCTCACGCCTGTAATTCCAGCACTTTGGGAGTCCAAGGCAGGAGGATCACTTGAGGTCAGGAGTTCAAGACCAGCCTGGCCAACATGGCAAAACCGCCATCTCTACTAAAAATACAAAAATGAGCCAGGCGTGGTGGCGGGTGCCTGTATTCTCAGCTACTCGGGAGGCTGAGACAGAAGAATCGCTTGAACTCGGGGGTGGAGGTTGCAGTGAGTTATGATCTGCTACTGCATTCCAGCGTGGGCAATAAAGTGAGACTCTGTCTCAAAAATTTTGTGCAGATAGGGTCTTGCTATGTTGTCTATGCTAGTCTCAAACTCCGGGCTTCAAGTGATCCCCAGCATCCCAAAGCCCTGGCTGGGATTACAGGTGTGAGACACTGCACCCAGGCCCTGTGAGTATTTTCTTTTCTTTCTTTTTCTTTTTCTTTTTTTTTTGAGATAGAGTATCACTCTGTTGCCAGGCTGGAGTGCAGTGGCGTGATCTTGGATCACTGCAACCTCCGCCTCCCAGATTCAAGTGATTCTCCTGCCTCAGCCTCCTGAGTAGCTGGGACTACATGTGTGCACTACCACTCCCGGCTAATTTTTGTATTTTTCATAGCGATGGGGTTTTGCCATGTTAGCCAGGCTGGTCTCGAACTCCTGACCTCCCCGCCCGCCTTGGCCTCCCAAAGTGTTGGGATTTCAGGTGTGAGCCACTGTGCCCGGCCCCTGTGAACATTTTCTATTGAAACTGGGTCCAGTGGGAGAGGCCAGGTTCCTAGACCAGTCTACAAAAGCCAGAAGTACTTCGGAGATGTGTGAAGGACCCAGGGGGATGAGATGTCACAGCTTCTGGGGCTTAGCAAGGTTTAGGGAGCCCACGGGTGGCCATGGCTAGGGATGGGGGTCCAGGAGAGGTGGTGTGGGAAGAGCAGGCTGTCCCCACTGGCACCTGTGTTATTGCTGTCACTGCCGCTGCCGCCCGGGGATTCCAGGGTCTGCAGAAAGGTCTCTAGTGGGACGTGGATCAGGGACTCTCTGACGGCATCTCGACCTCGGCTGTGGGGGGCTGTCACCACTGCACCCGTGGCTGTCGTCTCTGGGGGCCGGGGTAGGTCAACTGCTGGGGAAATGGCAGGTGAGACACATGTATCTTTATCTGTCCACCCTGCGTGTGCCCCTCCTCCAACCCTGTCCCCCTACCTACCATCAGTCAGGAGCTCACAGCTGCAGGAGGCCACGCGGCTGGCCAGACAGCCTCCTCGGGTACAGGAGAGCTCGGTGTCTTCCTCACTGTCACTGTGGAGACAAGAAATGGAAGCCATGTCCTGCTGTGGGACTTGGACCCAAACCACAGGCTGCTTACGTGGCCAGGCAGTGGCTGGCAGTCCCATGGCTCAGCATGTAGCCCTCCTGGCTCTGGTCACCTCTCTCTGCCTCCATGTCCCGACCCTCTGTCCCACCCTCCGCTGGCTCTGTAGCCACCATGTGATTGACCAGGCCACTGTTGGGGCTCAGAAAACAATACCCCAAAATAAAGTCCTCAGCAGCAGCCTCAGAAACAAAAATGTTTTTCTCTGACCTTCTCCTGCCTACCTGTCTCTCAATCCTCTTCTCCCCAGAGGCACCAGAGAAACGGAAGTCCCTCTTTCCCAAGGTGGGTCACAGAAACCAGAACCCCTTTTTCCAAAACGTAGTCATAAAACCTAAAAATATTCTTTTTTTTTGAGATGAGTCTCACTCTGTTGCCAGGGCTGGAATAGTGGTATGATCTTGGCTCACTGCAGCCTCTGCCTCCTGGGTTCAATCGATTCTCCTGCCTCAGCCTCCTGAGTAGCTGGGATTACAGGCGCCCGCCACCATGCCTGGCTAATTTTTTTTTGTATTTTTAGTAGAGATGAGGTTTCACTATGTTGGCCAGGCTGGTCTTGAACTCCTGACCTCGTGATTCGCCTGCCTCGTCCTCCCAAAATGCTGGAAATACAGGTGTGAGCTACTGTGCCTGGCCAACTTAAAAATATTCTATGTAAAAACGTGTCATAGAGAAATTATCCAGCCAGGCATGGTGGCTCATGTTTGTAATCCTAGCACTCTGGGAGGCTAAAGTGGGAGGATCACTTGAG